TACTGTACATCTATAAGTTTTCGTGATTAAAAGGATAGAAACTTACCATAGTCTGTGTGTATTGCTTCTCCTAGTGGTATATTACGAGGAAACTTGCAAAGAACAATAGCAAATGTTTGCAGGTTCTTATAATTCAACTGAATAACTTCTTTGAGAGCATCTAACAGTGCTTCACGTTGTTTAGGAATAAATGGACTACCTGATTCAACACTAGTTACTGCTTGTCTTACTAACACACGCTCTCCATACAGCATCCATGCTACACTGACTGGATCACAGAGAGACTGTGAGAGGTTATGGCAATGAGTATCAAAAATACAAGTAGCCATAGCATTACGTCCTATAGTTGGAATAGGAAATTATTAACAATACATTGTTAACTTACTCTCTTGATCTAACTTGTCAGCCACAGCAGTTTCATCCATTGATTTAAGAGCTTCTGACAGTGAGTCAAAGGTAGCTCCTCCTTTACTATTTACATTGTCTGCTTTACGTAACCACTTAGACAGACATTCAGTCAAACAGCGAGATACATCACCAGGATGATTCTTTTCAATGGCGTCCAGTGTGTTCTTGTGTAGTCCTAGTCTCAGTCCCAGATCTTGCCATCTTGTTTCAGGATACCCTGACCTCTTTAACAAATCAATGACATCAACAAGGTGATCTAAAGAAAGCAGATTCATTACAGATCTAATTATAAGTTACTTCTTACCAATGGACAAAGGAGAAGAGAAAAGTGATGAAGAATGGTTATCTCTAGAGGAAGATCTAGCCATATCCAGACATTGGCATGGCGAAGGGTGGGGCTTTAGAGTTAAGGCGGATTTACAATATGACATTAGGCCAGCGTATCGTCAATTTTTAATCAAAAACGTGGGCGATTTGACCTTTTGACGCATGCTTTCCGCTGGAATAGAACCAGATTCTATTCCAGCGTCAACGTAACGTCAGGACTAGCGTAATATTGTAAATCCGCCTTTAGAGTCTCTAATCCTTTATAATTTTTTCCTTTATTGTAAAAGTCCATTTGCATTCACCTGAGCCCAGGAAGTGATTAGAAACCCCACCCAATAATTAACACAATGCAATAATATTAGGAAAAGTATGGCTGTACTTTCTGCATGGGTTATACAACCAACTTGAAGCTAAAGAGCTATAGCTGCTTCTTAAGTAGTACAATAGATGCGGCAAAAGGAGAGGAATACACTGGTATGTTTATTTTTACAATAGAACTTGTAAGTCAAAAGTTATTGCAAGAAAACAAGGGCTCAGGTGAACACAAATGGACTTTAGTTGCAATTGACCAATCAGATTCAGATGCTTGATTTTAGGTTCATAAAATAACTTATCTACCACTGGGAGATTTGATAAGTAAATGCTCAGGCAATAGGAGGTTGATATAAGTTTGCCCGGGAGGTTAATAAGTTTGTCCAGGAGGTTAATAAGTTTGTCCAGGAGGTTAATAAGTTTGCTTGGGAAATTACTTATTAGTTATTAACTTCCTGCTTAAAAAGACATGCTACTGCTAAGTAAACTAGTTGTAGAAGTCAGTTATACAACTCTGTGTCGGTATCTATGGCCTTATCATACCTCGGGCCTACGGCCCTCAGTATGATAAATGCCATAGATACCTCCACCTTGTTGTATAACCTTTACACATTAGCTCATTAAACTAAATGGTGCTCTATGCATAATGCTCTATTATTATTCCATTTGTCAAGCTTGATTAATTCTTTAAATGTTATGGTAGAAGTTGGTTATACACCTCGGTATTGGTTTCTATGACATTATTAACTCTACCTTAGTGTATAACCTGTACATATATACGTGCTGCACGCTACTCATGCATTGAATTTTTTATGACCTGAGAGCATTGCTCCCAGGGTGTTCCTAAGATTATTATGTCTATGATTGTTGTTTTCACCATCACGCTATATTTATATTTATATATCATTTGTATGCCCACAATTATTATTGATGTATACCGTATTTAAAATAATAAAATAAAAATTCATCATAATTTCTGAACTATCCTTCTTACTGTCTATACGGTAGTACACTTGTCGGACACGTGTATTAGATACTGTTAAAAGAGAAACAGACAAGTGAATATACCCTAATGTGACCTAGTGGCAATTGTAGGAAGAAAAACTCAACTCACTTTTTGTCTTAGTATTTCTTCATTAATGGGATATTTTAGCTTTGTGTCTGCATAAATTGGATTCTGTTTGTAAAAATCAACCAATTCAACCATGCTGTCAAAAGTACTATTTCCTGTTTCAAATTGACCACCTTTGCCAAAAAATTTCAAATGGCAAACAGAGTTACCAATTCTATAAAAAAACAAAAAGGGGAGCATAAGAAGAGTAGGATGAAATATGCAGGTTCTAGATCTATTATGTTCTGTTTGAAGGTTTTTGGTGTAGATAAAGGATCTTACACTAAACTGATAGCCCATGTGTTGTGTCCTTCACTAGAGGGACGGACTAAGAAAGCACCATCTTCCTCTCTTTCTAACATGTATTCAGCACTCTCTCTGGATACATTTTTATTATACCATGGCTGTGTCACATATGTAAGAGAGACCTAAAAAAATTATAGAGTAATAAAGAAATACATATGCATGTACCATAGTAAAATTGTGCAGATCATGCATCTTGTCTGTTTTACCTTATTTTTAGATATAGGTACAGTGAGCTTTTGATGAGAGATTTGATCAATATTGATATGATACAGACAATAATGATCAATGAGGTCTACTATTGAGACAAAGGACAGAAAATCTCCACTAATACGATAATTTATCTTTCCTTCTTTATAATTTATTTCGGATATACTAAGGTGACGGATTTTAAAATTATGACTATAAGAAGACAAGACAAATTCAAGGAAGAGTTTAAGAGCACAATGTTTCTAGTACTTCTACATGTAGCCTTTAGCAATGACACATGGCTGTGTGTACTGTACAAACTGACAAATAAAAATCTCACACAAATGACAAGAAATAGTATCCAACAAAGTTTCTTCTGACAATAAAAGCACCTGGAGTATGTTTGAAATCATCTAATATTGCATCCGCATCTGCTTTAGATACATTTTCATGGAACCAACTGAAAGTGATAAAAAAGACAAAAGAATATATGAGTCTTGTTCTTGATTTTACACATTGTACATAAAATGGCTAGACTACACTATTTTTGCTTATAACTAAGATTATATAATTATTCATGAAATTAATTAGCAGGCATCAGCAAATTGGATATGGACCAATGCACCCAATTAACTAAAATGATCTTTCTCCCCCCAATAATTTAAAAGACAGCAGAATACTCTTGTATGCATGCATGTGCTGCATTATATTTGAAGATTAGATATTTCTTAACAGAATAATTGCTCACACAATACTGAGAAAATTACAGTATAATGAATGAGTGTGGGACTTACGGTTGCATTTCTAATGATGATAACTGAATAAAGAGAATGTTACGACAAGTTAGACAACAATAAAAAGATAGAAGAATAATTTTTAATTTCTTACTGTGTCTAAATTTTCTGACAATTTAAAATCTCCGCTCTCCTTTTTTAATTTTTCTTCATCTTCTAATAATTTCTTTTCTCTGAAACAAAAATAAGTATACAAATGAGCATTGAGGTCAATAACAATTTGTACTTGTGAAATATTTCATCTGAAAGAAAAAATACAGTTATAAAAGCAGCTCAAAATATTATTGATAAACCTTTTATTACAGCTTTATACTTCTTGTTCTCTTCTCTTTTCATAAGTAACTGTACACTAGTTGATGATATCTGTTCTTGCAAATACTCTATCTCTCTCTTATTCTCTGCCAATGCTGCTTTCTGATCCTCTAAATCTATTATAGGATCTATAGTACAATGATACATACAATATGATCCAATACCAGATTTATTTGCTGTTAAATATAATATCAATTCTTCTATCTCCATCCTCATTCCTCTTCTAATCCTGCTCGATGCTATTACACAGTTTAGTTATAATAATTATTTACTACTCTAACCTGAGCCAGTATTAGTTAACAGTAACATATGCTGAATGCAGTACTTTTCTTTCAATTCTATTACATAATTTGATGACCTCAATTTTTTGTTTGATACTAACTTTGTAGTTTCTCTTCTAATCTCTTGTTGGTCTCATTTTCTTTCTTAAGTTGTAATGTAACAATAGCAAAACTTGTATCAAGTGACTGTAGACCAGAATCTAACAAGAGAATCATATATTATAATAAATTATACATGCAAAATACCTTCTGAATGATATGCTGTAAGTTGCTTCTCTTTCTTCTTTAGCCATATTGGTTAAATATCAATATTATACATACACACACATACACACACACACACAATTTCATTACTTGTAAAACATAAGGATCTTCACTTATATCACCTTGATTGACTTTAATCATATCTATATCTTCTTCCAGCAGTTGCTCCATCTCCTTAATAGTTCAATGAGAAATAATATTATCGCATAAAGATGATTCACATACTTCTAATTTTTGTTTTTCCCATATTAAACAACATCCAATGGTAACTTTCTTTAAACCATTCTTTATTAATACATCAAGATTTTCAATTAATATTGTGATGAAAGCTCCAGTGAGAGAGTGAGGGAAGGAGCAAGTGATCAGAATGGAGTATCCAGTATCAATGAACTTGATCTTAACAAATTTACCAGATGTCTTGGAAAGAATATCAGTGATATCTTTCAATTTCTTTTCATCAGGCCTCCAGTCAAATACATAGGTAGCTGTTTCACACTGAAGTGAAGGATTGGCTTCAAACTTCTCCTTCAAGCAGAGAGTGACAGATATAGACCGACAAAATTCACTCAACTCTCC